GTTTACTTCTCGCTTGTTAATATAGCGAATGCTGAATTATTTTAAAAAGACGTTTCTTAAAAGAATCCTCGAGAACTTCGCTTTAGGCGTTGGCTAAATCTGCATATTATTTGCTTACCGTGTTTGAAGGGAAAAAGCGCTGGAATGGGATTAAGAGAATTGTTTTCAATGCATATATCAGTCTTAATCTAGCCTAACCATTTTCTTTCATTATTTTCATGTAGGAAAGATGGAAGTGCGACTTTATTATAACCGAGGAAAATTCTAATCCTCTAAGTTAAATACAGTCATTTTTCTTTTGCCTTAATTTCAACAGCCTGTTGACTCAGGACCCCCTCTTGCTTGATCGAAAGATTAAAAATGCTAGTTGGAGAGAATACACCAGTATCTATATAACGTTTCTGGAACCTTTCTCTTCAATCTCTGAGCTCGAACTGAGATAAAAAAAAAAAAAAAAAGTCTTCATGATCACCTCCAGCGTTCACTTTCAACGGTTTTAAACATGTTAAAAAGACTCAGTTAAAATTGTGCATCACTTTAACCACAGACTACCCAATATCAGACATTGAACAGCTCCTAGTAATGAGCATCGAACCACAAAGGAACGAAAATTTCAAACAAACTGAACTATAAGGCTTTGAGAGGAAAAAATTTGACGTTTTGGATTGGTGGTCGCTTATGGGAGGTGATCGCATATGGAGGTTCATCTATAGGTCACGTGTTATCCTACAGGGCTGACCAGTATTTTTTGCCTTAGTTTACACTACGTTGCATAATCCAAACTTATAAGTGCACAATGATACACACAAGGCTGAACAAGAAGCGACCACCATTTTTGATGCGGAACAAAACCGAAACAGGATGCTTCAAACTAAATTTCCTCATCTCATGGATAAATGCTTAAGTGCTATGACGTGTGAAACTCCTTAATTGAGACAAAAGTAGTTATCTTTCTAATCATACGGTCCTAATGCATCGAAAAGTTTGAATGACTTGATGCGTCTTGCGTAGGCTTGGTCCCATTAGCGCACGCACTTTAAAACCATTCTTTCGTATTCTAGCCGCTTTCGGCGTGATTCAGTTACAACAGAACAGAGCACAGTCAAGGGACGCTTTATTTGTTAATTAAAAAGTAGTTTGCTGTTAATAATTTATATTTGTTTTTACTAGAACGAAAAAAAGAAGAAAGCTGCAATTATTTTAAATAATATGCGGGTTTTGTTACTATTTAAATGAAGTTTGCGAGTTGTATAAGACTATACTCATTATACACGTTCATATCATAACAATTGTAGCTTGGATGAATAAGTCGTTGTGTCGCTAAAAAGGAAAAATTGATCGCGCGGCATGTGCAACAGAACAGAGCACAGTCAAGACTTCTCACTATTTGTTAAATAAAGAGCAGTTAATAATTTATATTTGCTTTTGCTAGAACAAAAGAAAAAAGAAATCAGCAATTATTCCGAATAATATTTGAGTCTTTTTAGTATTTAAATGAAGTTTGAATTTTTCATTAAAAGGTGTACTCAGAACACGAGTTCATATGATAATACATGTCAAATTCAAGGTTAAAAATTCACAGTAAGCTAATATGCAAGAACAGTAGAACAACCTTTAGGATTGCTTTCCACTGCCACGTAACTTCAATCTTCTTGCGAACGCGCGTAAAATTTACGTGCCGTCTTACTCATAGAGTAATCAGTCAGAGTTCCGTCAAAACTCTAATGCGAGAAATCGAAACTACAATTTTCAACACATCTTTAAGTCAGTTATCTGTTCGCTGACCTAGACCGGATCAGTAAAATAGCGCTCTAAAACTCTTAACAGTTAGTTAAGGAGTACTTGGAATGCATAAAGGTGTGATCTGGCCTCACAAAAGGGAAAACAACAGAAAGATTCGGCTATTGTTAGTTTACCCCGCCTACTCCACGATGAAGAGTACTGCTGCGCGTGACAAAGACTCCTGTTCAGCATTTTAGAATAACAATAAGCGATATTACAGACTAAGAAGCTTCCACCGACTGTAATTAAATGTCGCAAGAACAATAGTCATTTCTCCCGATGAAAGAGGCGACGCTTTTTAGTTTACTTTAATTAACTTTTACGTTTACGCGCGACCTTCAATACATTGCCTCTTTTTTATTTACGCGCGTAAAATATACGTGTTTACTTAAGTCAATTTTACGCGTCAGCGGAAACCCACCCTATGTACTTTAGGTTTGCTTGGTTACACTGACCGTGAGGAGTCTGCGAACGAGAAAAGAAGAAAAGAAAGTGAGGGGTTGCTATTCTCCTTTCTCTCCCCATTAATACAGGAGAGTGGTGCCTGCAGAGGATCGAGGTCACACTCTACCGGACGAATTTTCGACCGGCTGAAAAATTGGACCGGACACTTTGTTCATACGGGACTTTGAACTGCTAGACGTCTGATTTCTTTGTACCGTTAAGGTAGTTTCATGTAAAAAGAAAACCCAAACGTGTAAATTTCAACTGGTGGAAAAATCGTCCGACGCACCTTGTGAACATAATTCTCCAATTATTTTGGGACTTTCATTACTGGCCGCTTAATCATGAGGTTAAACTTAACTCAAAAAAATATGCTATGGGGCTAATTAATAGACTATTAAGGCTGCAACTGTCACAACTGTTTAGAATATTAACTCAAGCGTCACGTTCACTCTTGCTATTAAAAGGGTGAGAAATTAAGGAAAGGACACCATTTACTGGGAGTACATACGAAACTTGATTTGAACCTTTTTCACTGAAAGTTTATCCTTATGATTCAAAAACGTTTACGTTGAACAAAGAAACCCTTGACGTCAGTCCAGGGAATGAATCCGTTGCAGACTTGAGCAAAAAATTTTCAGCTCTCTGCTTCCTTCAAGATATCCTTCAACGCAACCAAGCAGCTCAGTATTTGTTGGAAAGGTAAGCGCTAAGTTGTTGTAAGAAAGAAACAACGATAAGCCTTTAAAACAATTCCTGTCCTCGCATGATCGCGAAGTCATCTTGGTAATAGTCACCGCCGCACAGTTAAACCTCACTGAATTTTGTCTTTCTTTTAAAAAGAAGCTTAAATTCGCCATACCTTGCAGAAAGAGGTTTTAAGACGCTATAGTTTTTATTTTGTGTGTTCTTTTGTAACTAGAAATTTGAAAAATATCTTCATCTTTTTAGGTTTTGAATAATACTAGATCGGTGAGCGTTTAAAAATTCAACAAAGGATAAGCAAGAAAATACCAAGTAACAACCCAAACATATGCGATGGAACAAAACAGCAAAGGATGCTGACCACATGTTTTGAAAAATATATGTTTCGTTTGCTTCAAAGTCCCTATCCTTTAACGGGAAACTGACTTAAAAAAAGTGATTGTGGTTACAAACCGATAAACGGTTACAGGAAGCTAACAGAAAGCAGCTGTTAGTAAGAATGGGTAGCACAGGTAGCACTCGCCTGAGACAGTTAGGGCGTAAATAATGGCCACCCGCGATGAACAGGAAAGCGCGCACATCCCTAAATTTCGCTAAACCTCTCAGCACAGGCTGAGAGGCTGTAATAAAAGATTTTGTTCCTTCTACGTACTGGAGTCATCAAAAAGGAAGTTCATATTGACAACAAGTTTATCTCAGCGACAATTTTTCTGAAAGGTTTAGCGAAATAAAAAAAAATGTATCTTGTTTACACTATGAGAGGTCTAAAAAAAACAGGACTACCGTTCACCGTTTGGTGAATCGTTGCACGTTGCAGTGGGCAGAAGGGTTGTAGTAGCGAACTTATTTATCGGACTTCGTATACCAAAGAAGCTTAGATGAAGTTTCTTCAATCATTGGGCTTTTTTTAATATTCATTCAAAGATATTTTCGAGGTACGATAACTTGGAAGTTGATTAACTTTTATTGGCACAATTAGTGTGCGATACGATACAGTCTCTTTGTGAATATTTAATGACTTATTCAAGTTTAATGGAGGAAATATTATTGAAACGTACCCCGGGGGTGGGGGGAGGGAGTACTCCCTACAATGGCCCGGATACGGGGAGGCTCCGCCCAGAAGGAATACTTTATTTGGTCTTCATGTATATAAAAGAGTGGGGATTTAGGGGGGGGGGGGGGGAGGGAGTACTCCCTACAATGGCCCGGATACGGGGAGGCTCCGCCCAGAAGGAATACTTTATTTGGTCTTCATGTATATAAAAGAGTGGGGATTTACTAGCTGAAGTATATGAAAAAGTGGGGAAATCTATCATTTCGGTCTGTAAAAAAGGCCCGAAGGGTTAACAAATGCATTTTATAGCTGTGAAAAAGTGAAAAAAAGCAAAAACAAAAAACGTTCTTGTTTGTGATTTATTCATAGTTTAAAGGACATTGGATCAGAACAGCAGTTAAAAATGTATGCAAAGTTCCAAACTAGGTATGTGATAGGGGTACTTTTTCTGTCATAATTAAATGGTATACAAAAGGGTAAGGGGTTGGACCTCGGGGCGGAGCCTTCCGGTATAAACCGGCCTTTCTTGAGTACTCCCCCCTTCCCAGTGAAATAAGCTTTCTACCAGGTGATCCATTACTTCTTAGTGACTTGCAGTTCAATGAGCGCTAACAATAACAGCTAAAATTCACACATATTTTTTTGTCCTCAGTTTTCAGTCAACTTATTCATCATACTCTCCCCTTAACCACTGCTTTCGATTTTTTCTTCGCACAGGTAAAAGCAAGGGGTTTATTTCAGTGTTAACAAAAGTATCAAGAAATTAAAGTTAAGGTGTGCACTCTATTGAAGAATTGTTGTCAATGTATAATCTCCATTCTTGATATTTAAGGAGTCGACTTCAGTCCTCTTAGTCCACCTTCTAATTAACTTCCTTTTTTCAACTAACCAAACTTTATTCGATTTCTTTCTGAAGGGAGGAGAAAAGAGAATTAAAAGAAAACAATGAGCTCCATAACGGTCTCTTCAGCGGAGTGCAGCACATGGTATGCTGTATTCCTTACTATAGCTTTTTGCTGTGGTTGCAGTGAACCTCCTATCAATCATCCTTTTTGCAAAGAACAGTAATCTTCGCACTCGTGCCATGTACTTGGTTATAAACTTGACCGTGGTTGATATGTTTGTTGGACTAAGTGCCATTTTCGCTCCAGTATTACTTTTCCTCCTCTACGGTTGCGAAGCTGGAAATATAATTTTGATCAGGCCGGAATTGCCACTTATTTTGGTTGTGCTTTCAGTGATAGAGGGGGGACTCCCTCTCACCTCTGTAGCAGGTATTGCAGTAATTTCTTTAGATAGGATGCATGCGACGTTTCGTCCATTCAGGCATCGCAACATCAAAACATGGGCCTTCGGGGTAACAATTGCGGGCGTCTGGATTTTAACTGCGATGATAGTAATTCTCTATCCGTTAATAAGTCTCTATGGGAACTTGCAACAACAGTGGCAATTGGTATTTCCTTCGTACTTATTGCTCTCATATTGCTGCCTTTGCCTTATTGTTATCTGTGTTTCTTACACCTCCATTGCTTTAAAATTTTGGTGTGGAACCCGTCCTCCGTCCCGTAGTGCGGCCAATAGACAAAGAAAAGTGACTGTCACATTATTCATAATGACCATTGTATCTTTGCTGCTGTGGTTACCATATGTTGTACATACTTTTGTTCTACGTTCTGTTCTAGTTAGATTTTCTTTCCTGACACATTTACGCTTGAGATTATCTTTTTCTCTTCTATATCACACAAACTCGCTTGTTAATCCCATTATTTACACAATCAGAATGCCAGAGTTCAGAAGAGCTCTCCTGATATTATTTAAACGTCGACAAAGGCAAAATGCTGCTATTCCTCTTCAAGCCCGTTAATTTACCTTGTCTAAAACTTTATTGTAAGTTCAAATGATTACCAGTCAACTATGTCAACTATTGCTGTTTTGTTGCATGAAACAAAATCTCTTGAAAATAGTAGTTCAATGCATAGTGTTATTACTAACTTTAGATCGATAGAGCAATTTTCCTATAACCTCGAAAAATGGTTTCGGCTAAGTGTTCGTTATTTGTTTTATCAAAGATCAAAACATGGGCTCTTCGTTTTCCCGCTCAAGAAAACCCTAATATGCAGAAGACATTGTTCGATTGGCCAATCGTGTTGCAGTATGTTTTCAAAGCGAAGTATCAATTGATTTCTGGAAAGGTCTCGGGCATGAAGGTTTTAATTTTACCCGAACGTTTCCTTAACCAACCAAAAGCCATTCCTGTTTGTATCCGTTCGATAAACCATTCAAATCGCTCTATTTCCTTTCGTTTGTTGTTCTGTTTCGTTCTCGTGTGTTCATTTCAAGGTCATACGAAAATCGCTCTAAAAAGACTGTAAATACATATAAAAAAACCTGTTTTTCATTTAAAGGGGCTACCTCACGCTATTTGATAATATCTTTTTAAAACAGATAAACAGTCTCTTGACATCAATTGTTAAGGTCCAGTCTTGTTTTAACTTTTTTACATTACATGACATTTAAGCGTTGAAAACGTTTCCTGTTGCCTTTGTAAAGGGTTGGCAAGGATGAATATGGATCGACTTGAAAAAGTTGAGCCAACATTTTCAAGTTTTAATGCTATCCAAAAAAAATTATTATTATTATTATTATTATTATTATTATTATTATCATTATTATTATTATTACTATTATATCTTGTTCATAACTCTACGGGAGCAAAGATAAACCTAAAACAGCAATGTCCTCGTACTAGCTCCTTTAATCAATTAAAAAAACCATTACATATTAACTCCTTAATCAGTTCAGTAGGCATGCTTATTGTCTAATGAACTTGAGGAATTGTCCAATGGAAATGACACTTTCCGCGAGCAATTTTTTTTCCTCCTTTACGATTATCATTAAACTGCTGAAATTTCTTTCGCTTGGAGAGCCCTATTGCGAAGGCAGATAGACGCTTTTAAAAACTGTGTAACCCGGGGAGAGGGAGGGAGCTCCGTACAATGCACTACACGGGGTACCATTTTCAGGCTTCAGGCATGCATAGATTAGCTAGTATTTCATATTTAAAGGATAGTGCATTTACAACAGTTAAAAGGGATGCAGCGTTTATTAGGTATGTGAAAGGCATATCATTTCCCAGTAAGGGGTACCTTTTCTGTCAAAAATGGTATCTAAAAGCTGGTAAAGGGTTGGACCATGGGGCGGACCCTAACTTTGTTGAGTAGCCCCCCTCTCCCCCCTCCCATGGGGCTGTGTACTTGGGTTGTTCAGTCTATTTGCATAGTATTTGACCAATGTAGCCTTTGTTATTTTTACAGCTTTTTCCTTTTTCAATGCATTATTAAGAATCCTATTGAAATAAAACACTAAGGGACGTTTTTGCAGTTGTTCAAATCACTCACAGCGCGTTCTTTGAACATTACATAAACTAGAGTAAAACCAGCGACTAAGAACTCGGTTTTTAAGTTAGGTCTCCTCTATACAAGAACGTGTTTAGCCTAAAATTTGAAACAGGACCTTATTTTGCTAAAAATCCATAAAATAAATCTGTGCCGTTGTGCAAGTAAAACAAGTCAACATTTAGGGTCCTCTTTGGAGACATAGAAGCCTTATAGCTCCAACTGCAATGTCATGGTAGGCGGGTTTTACAAAAGGAATGACTGGATACAATGTATTTTTTCTTCAGAAAATGAGAACCTTTTAATGAATGTTATTAGTCGCGGGTTTTACTGTATTTAGCTAATTCATCTTTTCGTAATTGATGTTTTCAATCAAGATAAAATATGCGTTATCAACAGGCAATTTCCGAGTTCCACAAACCCTCACTTTCCGAGCAAAGCTAAGTGCAAATCCTTTTTGTGATAATAAGTTTCATTTGCATGGGAGTAGAAAAAAGTCATTTTTGTCACAGTCATTTCGCTTAAAAACGTACAGAAGCTTGGGGTGACTCAGAGATAGCCTGTTAATATTATACATTTAGATCTTTAGAATTAGTTGTTATACACGATTTTATAGTGTATCTTTTCTTCTTTTACTTTGTGAAACACTACTTCGTATGTAAACTGCAAAACAGTCGGTTTTTTCCCTCATAATCGGTAATACAAAGGCCCAAAGGGCAGGCTTGAGATTTTCGCGCGAAGCGCGGGAGCCTCACACGCTCGTGGGTCCAGTATCACTCGCCCTTTTCCACCTTCCCACCTTTCGATTAACCGCTCGCGCGCGCGTCCTTAACAAAAGCAAAAAGTCGGGCTGTTTTACAGTTTAATACGTTTGTGATCATTGATAAAATATAACAGTGTGTAAAAAGAAACCAATGAAGCCAAGTTCAGTACACCTTAACTTCTGCTTTATACTAGGCTTGTTATTTGTTCCTAAGTCAGTAAAGTTAATCAGTTTAAGACTATTCAATAAATTTACTATTTGAACCTGATTTTCCCCGTGTTTTATCTGTGACTCTAATAGGGAAGGAAGAAACTATATTAAAATGGGAATGAGATACTTAATATGGGAAATGTGTCAGCTGTCAACCCTCGGACGTACAAGGGTGAGGGGGAGGGGGGGGGGGGGGGGNAAAATCGAGAGAAAAGGAAGATAGCAAGACTTGAGGTTGGCTCTCCGTTTAAAATCCATCATCTGCATCATTATGTTTGGCTTGTTTGCGAAACACGCGCAAAAATTCTATTGTCTGACTCAGAGACATCGCTGACGTCCACGGCCGAGTCTCTTGTCGTTGACGTCGACTAGGGCGCCTCAACGACAAGAGACTCGGCCGTGGACGTCAGCGATGTCTCTGAGTCAGACAATAGAATTTTTGCGCGTGTTTCGCAAACAAGCCAAACATAATGATGCAGATGATGGATTTTAAACGGAGAGCCAACCTCAAGTCTTGCTATCTTCCTTTTCTCTCGATTTTACGACGTCCACAAGCAAGAAGAGTTCCACGAAGACATAGTATCACGTGAAGAATTTGACTTTCTCTAGTTTCAAATAGCGTCAATACGCGATGCGAACACTTTTGTATTATTTTTTTACTTCAGCGGCGTCCAGGCTGAATTTATTCTCTATAACCAGAATAGTAGTGATGATTTCTGGGATAGCCTTCGATAGTTCTGATCGTCTCAGTCGTCTGAGAGCGTTTCCATATGATCATTTCAAAATTTACACGATCATCCCCATCGTTCGGATAGAACTCAACTCTATCCAAGCGATCGAGGTCGTCTCAGTCGTCTGGGTCGTTTGTGATCGTCCGGGTAGCGTTTCCACATAATCGTTCCGATCGTCTGAACAATATTTGAGATGACTGGGGGAAGATCGGGACGATCAGGACGATCCATGGAAACGAGGCTTAGGCGGCCATTTTCCGTGGGGTGCTGCTGCGGACGCTGTCAGGGTTTACGAGATAGATTATATCTTTGGTTTTTAAACTCCTGTTTCGCCTGTGACATTTTGTCTGAATCTTGTATTTTTAATAATATATCAACGACAGATCGCTTTTTGTCACTTAAATTTATATCAGTTTCAGTGTTTTTTTGTCTCTTTTTTTGCACATACACGTCCGATCACACTTCAAAATGTAGGTACATCATTCTGAGAATTGTATTTTCCATTTAAACCGTTTAAGTCATTTTACGTTTTTAAAGAGAATACAAAATGATGTTGACTTGTTGGGTAGAGCTACTGTATAGTCGCACTGAAGAGCACCTGAAACAAAGGATGACAAAAATGGCGGCGGTCAGAGCGAGCGGTTCAACCTTAGTCTGCGTAGCAGGCGCTTGGAAGTAATGGGTACCAAAAAGACTGAGCGCGAGGGAGGCACGCAAGGGAAGAGGGAGCCCTGTCCCCTCGCATGTCTACCTCGCGCGGCCCGTTTTTTCTTTACTTCCAAGCGTCCGCTACGCAGGCTAGTTCAACCCTAAGTAATAAAATATTAAAAAATGCATAACATGAGAAAATTTGATAACATTACGGAAAAAAAATAACAGTCACGTCTACAACATTTTTTGAACTGAAACATAACGAGAAACAAAGGTGGTAACAAACCCCCTATGAAGTCTGAACTACGTGGCGACACTAGCCCGCGTAGCAGGCGTTTTCGTGCGGGAACGAGGAACGAGAGTCAAAGACCGCGCGAAAAATGGCGCGAGTAAATTCCCGTTCCTCGTTCTTTCCTTGCTCCGAAACCAAACAGAAAAGCTTGCTACGCAGGCTAATGCGACGCGAAATCCACAACTACTTCTTCTTCTTCGGATGGTGGGCTATACTGAGTGTTAGCTCTCAAATTATGACCATCGGTATCAATTACGGTCATTACATGGTGACTATTTTTTATTGGGCTGCCCATTAGGGCAACGTTCAATCAAGAAATACCTCTTGTTCGTGTCGAAAAAAGACCAAATGGCGGACGGAATTCCTAGAAAACTGTTCATGTCCCTTTCCCGCTGGGGCCGATTTTTGCGGGGAGGGGACGCTTCATTTCAGGTCGTCTGGCGAACAGACTTGGAAGTCGATTTGGAACGAACACAAAATTATTTTGTGGAGTTATTGGCCCTATATCTACGCCGAATCATTATCTAAATACAGTATTCGATGGTGTAATTAGCCTGCGCGGGAGCTGCAGAAACAATGCCCTCCCACGGTTCCCACGGAAAAAGCTTTAACTTATTGCAATTTTCTCCCTGCTTGTGTAAAGTCTTTCCTTATAAGAAAGGAATAATCAATATCAAGAGCCATAATAGGACACTGTCCTATTATGATCTCTTGTCAATATGCTATTTGCAAATCGCCCCGTCAAAATTCACTTGAATAGTTAGATGGGCTTTAAATACAATATCCAGATAGAAATAAAACTGAAAGTTAATTTGCTTTGCGAGACAAAGAAACAAAAAATTACTGTTATATAACAGTATTTGAAACATCAAAAGTTGGCCCGTTACGTTTCAAGAGTAGAACGACAGTGAGTTATATAAATAATATTTGCGGTTAGATTAAATAAGTCACGTTTTACTGTCATGCTATATTTTTGTTTCTTGTTTCAAAAGGCTAACTCACCTATTTTTCTTCATTACGGTAGGGGCCGTTTTCAGGGGAGCTCGTTTTTCATCCCTCCCTGGGGAGGGATGAAAAACGAGCTCCCCTATAAACGCCTGCGTGGGAGGGTAATCTCTGAGTTCTAGCTTAAAAACGAGTTGTTGGCAGACCAATGAATCCCCATTACGGGGGTCTTGTTCCTTAACAATTCAGCTGACGAGACAAAATATATTAACGGAAGTGCTTCAGTACTACTACGAAAAATTAGCCTGCGAGCAAGCTTTCCGACGGCCCGGAGGCGCGGCCTACATAAGGGGGGACCGGACTAAGTCTCAAAAAAATGCGTATTGTAACCTTAGAGCATCGCGATTTGCCTTTCTAGCGAGCGATCAACAAAATTACAATTTATTGATCTTGAAGTTTCCTTTATTTTCAAATAAAAGCAGCTTTTCAGTTCGTCTTCTATTAGCTGATTTGCTTTACAACATGTTAAGAATAGGTTCGAAAATTCTTCTCGATTTTTTTGCTTTTGACGGTCAATCCAAAAATGCTTGGTTTTTCAGATCTCAGCGCAATCAGCCAGTTTTAAAAATTCTATAAAAGTTTCCAGTCTAAGGAGGGCATTTAGGGGTCCTCACCCCCCGGAATCTCTCCTTGGATTTTTCACTCACGTTTCCGTGTAAATAGGAACCTTACGATTCGACAACGGCGACGTCTATGAAAACGTCACTGAAACATCGTTTAAACTTTTTCGCGATTATCCCAGTTTACCCTCTTATTTAAAAGAAGAGGATTTTGGCTGGAGCTGAGGAGAGGGGAACGCACCCGAGTTGAGACAGGGGTGGTAGAATTTATCGCCTTGCCGTTCCCGTCCCCAAGTAAACTGAAAATTTGGTCATTTCACGTCGTCGTAGTGATGCAGTGACTGCAAAAAAATGTACAAAAAAGGGTGATCCGGAGGGGTGGGGGTACTGTCATATATGGGCTATATAGACATGTGCCGCTGTGAAGGGTATGGTTTTCAAGCAGTTTACCTCGGGATAGGGTATATAAATCAGAGAGTTTGGGTCTAGAAGAGGGTATCTTTTTCCATTTAAACTGATCAATTGGCTGAAGATTGTAGTCTAGACTAGGGAAACCGGGAATTGCCACTCAAGAATATAAAAAAAATCAAGTCGGTTTTGTTTTGGTTGGACTGTGCTAGTGACCTCAGTTGTTTCTGGAAAACAGCTACTCTAGCATAGGGGGGATTTGGGGAGTTTAGTCTAGTATAGGGTTGCAAAATTCACTTGAACTAGCTCTGGTATATATAGGCTAAGGGCGCCAGGGTCCCAGCGGCACATCCCCACCCAAAAAGTCCTAAAGTACCCCAAAAATCAGGGTGTGGGTGTATAAAAGGGTGTGATTTTTTTAAGAAATGGTAATGTTGGTGTAGATTTTTTTTAAGGGGAGGGAACAGAGCATCTATGAGAGGGGGGGTTGGGGGGGTTTTCTTTTGATTGGGGGTAAAAAAATCCCTGAAATAGGTCTTGTGAAAGTTGAGGGGTTCCCGGCCCCCGCGGGGGAACCCCCCCCCAAAAAATCCAAAAGGGCCCCCCCCCCCCCCCCACCGGGAGCGTGATGCACGTGCAGAGTTGTTGTTTTGCTCATTAAACCTATTGTTTTTTGCCGTTCCCGTTGCCGTCGTCATAGTGGTTTCGTAAGGTCCTTAATGGGAACCGTACGTGTCAGGCTGCGTGCGTGTTGAGTAACTAATCCTGTACTAAAATTACGTTAGAGTTGCAAACCGCCAAGTTCCTCAGTTTCGCTTTTGAAGCATAATTTAGGTGGAATTAGTACTTTATTTTATCGTCGGGTGCGGCGACTAGCAGAAATTAAAAAGCTATCATTCTTCTTAAAAAAGAATTACTTATTTACATCTAACCAACACTGTCCTACTGTCTTAGTCTGCACCTTGAAACTAACGCGTCAGCAAGCGGATCTCGTGACACTCGCGCGTGAGGTCTTAATATATTCCCCAATGGAGAGCTTGATAGCAATGTAATACACTTTACACGGACCGTTCCTTACAGTGACACCTCGTAAAACTAAGCCTTTTTCCCATTAAAACGAAACAAATATACAATTTCCCCTTCTAAAGGGCTTATTTCGTCATAATTGTTAAGAATGTTAGGCTGGGTACATTGCTGTTGTGTAAAATTCTTCAGTTCTACTTTTTTTCATCGAGTTTTCCGTAACGCATAAAATTTCCTACTTGTAGACTTTTGCCAAGCAGCATGTTCTGCCGTTGCATGGAACTATTTTGTTGTGTATTAACTTCTGGGCTCCCTTTCATGAACCTTTGGAGTGGACATTGATCGCGATGAACGTTTGGTACGTTTCCGTTCTCCAAAGGAGGTCAGAAGATGAACTTTCAGACAAACTAAAACAAAGCTAGTCCGGAAAAACAAAATAAACCTTAGTAGTGTCTCAAAATCGGGATAAAATTCTGCTCAATAAAATGCGTTCTTTTTGTGCATGAACGCAAGCCAGGAGTCCTCAGTATTCCTTGGATATTCCTGTTTTGCTGAAGCATCACATCCGGAAGTACGCTTTAGGGGGAATGGGATCGATTTCCGGTGGAATGTGCAATTGGCCTTGTCGTGTCCACAAAATGTCTGCGGTGGAAGCGCGAACGCGAAATAAGTATTAGATTGAACGATATGGATGAATTAGACATGGGCTAACTACAAACAAATATCAATATACGCTTTACAATGGAGCGGGAAACTGACCATGTTCTACCTTTCCTAGATGTTCTAATCAACAACACTGACCCACACCAAAGTGCAACCACCGTTTACCGGAAAAAGACTTTCACAGGTCTCCTTACCAGTTATCTGAGTTTTTGCCCCTTTACCTACAAATTGGGGTTAATCAAAACCTTGATTCATAGAACTTTTAAGATAAACAACACTTGGATGGGGTTCCATACTGACCTTCAAAAATTGTCTGTCATTCTGCGGAGGAATCTCTTCCCTGAAAACCTTATCAACAAATATATTTCTAAATATATTCAGACAGCAGTCAAGGGAGGGAAAACACAGCCCTATTCAGGAGTCGAGCCCCAGGAAACGCCTAAGTTCTTCTTCAAAATCCCTTACGTTGGGCACTTCTCAGTCACGGCACAGAGGAGTATACGCAAACTTGCTAACCGGTTATGTAAACCTATTGATTTAAGGTTAGTCTTTACTACTTTCAAAGTCAGGAATCTTTTTAATGTGAAAGATGCTGTCCCTGAGGGGCTACGCACGCGTGTGGTCTATAAATTTTCGTGTGCAAGTTGTAATGCTTGTTATGTTGGTGAAACCAGCCGACACTTCTCCACACGAGTGCGCGAGCACTTACTTTCAGACAGGTCTTCGAACGTTTTTAAACATCTGCAGGGTTCAGAGTTTTGTAGAGCATCCTGCACACCGGATTGCTTCGAGATCCTGGACTCTGCAGCCACTAAGTACCAAGTGAAGCTTAAGGAATCCATGTTCATAAAATGGGAGAAGCCCGATCTCAACCAGCAGGTGAAACACATTAACCTGACTCTCTCCCTGTAAAGAACTAAGCGTCACTCATTTAACTTTGTTTTAGTACGCAATATTGACAACGCAATGTAACGAACTTTGTAAGATCGCGCGCGCTTTAAATTCAACGGCGATTTCAAAATATGTAACACTGAAGATGACGGATGTACCGTCGAAACATGTCTGGAAAATTAAAGAAAGTTGTTATGTTTATACGACAAACAAATATCACTTTTTACTTTTTTATTGTATACTTGTTGTATAATCGCCATCTAAAGGGATGTTTCAGGTTAATTTGCCGTCCATCATGGAGCGCTCCTTCGTCCTTGTGATAGTCTTCTTGTCAAGTTTAGGTTAGATCAAGTTGCTTGATGGCGGATTCATTTCAATTTCTGTTAAATTTATTCCTTTGCTTATGCTGATATACATTTGAAACGTTGGATTCTTGAGGACGCTCTCCCATCATGTTTGATCGAGAACGTAGTCTTGATCTTTCTCGTGAAGAAAGCAGAATTTGAGCGCAGCTTCTACTTTTTCAGCGAAAAGGTCGATTTGACTTGATTTCGATGAAAGATGGCAAATATAAGATAATGTACGCATTTCAGCTAAATCTTAATTCGGCAACTTTCATAGATGAAGGATTATCTATTCTTATCTATATGTTTCGTTTGCTTCAAAGTCCCTATCCTTTAACGGAAAACTGACATACTTACAGAAAGCTAACAGAAAGCAGCTGTTAGCAAGAATGGGTAGCACAGGTAGCACTCGCCTGAGACAGTTAGGGCGTAAATAATGGCGATACCCGCGATGAACAGGGAAGCGCGCACATTCCTTACCTAGTTCCCGGCATAGGCTGAGAGGCTGTAATAAAAGATTTTGTTCGTTCTACGTACTGGAGTCATTAAAAAGGAAGTTCACATTGACAAGTTTATCTGAGCGACATTTTTTCTGAAAGGTTTGTGCTCCCTTCAATGGCCTGTACGGGGAGGCTCCGCCCAAAGGAAATACCTTATGGCACCAGATTTTTTTTTCTGTTGTTAAAAATCCTCCGAGCAAGAACAAACCAGCGCAAAAGTTAATTGCAAAATACGTATTCGACTGCTATGAGAAAAGAAGATCATTAGTTCTTTAGGGTAACATTGATTATAGTTTCACTAGTGTGCAATTTGTGTTATGATTTTAAATTATTTGGATAAAGTCGATGTACATAGGGCTGTATAAGACTCCAAATAAATAAAGCATTGTCTTGTCTTGTCTTGTCTATAAAAAGGTGGGCATTTACTAGCTGAAGTATTTGAAAGAGTAGGAAAATCTATCATTTCGGTCTGTAAAAAAGACCCAAAGGGTTAACAAATGCATTTTAAGCTGTGAAAAAGTAAAAAAAAAAAATAACGTTCTCGTTTTGTGATTTATTCATAGTTTAAAAGACACTGGATCAGAACAGCAGTTAAAAATGTATGCAAAGTTCCAAACTAGGTATGTGATAGGGGTACCTTTTCTGTCATAATCAAATGGTGTACAAAAGGGTAAGGGGCTGGATCTCCGGGCGGAGCCTTCCCGCATAAACCTTTCTTGAGTACTCCCCCCTTCCCAGTGAAATAAACTTTCTACCAGGTGATCCATTACTTCTTAGTGACTTGCAGTTCAATGAGCGCTAACAATAACAGCTAAAATTCACATATATTTTTTTATCCTCAGTTTTCAGTCAACTAATTTATCTTACTCTTTCCTCAACCGCTGCTTTTGATTTTTTCTTTAATAGGTGAAAGGCAAGAGTTTGCTTTAGCATTAACGAAGTTATCAAGCAATTAAGGTTAAGGTGAGCTCTCTATCGAAGAATCTTTCTCTAATACAATCTCCATTATTCTTGATATTTAAGAAGTCGACGTCAACTCTCTTAGTTCACCTCCTAACTTCTCTTTTTCAACTAACCAAACTTTATTCGATTTCTTCTTGAAGGGAGGAGAAAAGATAATTAAAAGAAAACAATGTTCTCCAGGAGGATGGCTCTCAAATTGCTGCCTTTGCCTTATTGTTATCTGTGTTTCCTACACCTCCATTGCTTTAAAAGTTTTGTGTGGAACCCGTCCTCCGTCCCACGGTGCAGCCATTAGACAAAGAAAACTGACTGTGACATTATTCATAACGACCCTTGTATCATTGCTGTTGTTGTTACCATATGTTATATATATTTTTGTTTCTTTCAGTGTTATACCCAGCTTAGTGACATTTTTTCGTTTGCTATTATCTTTAACTCTTATATACCACACAAACTCGCTTGTTAATCCCATAATTTACACAATCAGAATTCTAGAGTTCAGAAGAGCTCTCCTGAAATTATTTAAACGTCGACAAAGACAAAATGCTGCTATTGCTCTTGAACGCCGTTAATTTACCTTGTTTAAAACTTTATTGTAACTTCAAATGATGACCAGTCACTATGTCAACTATTAATTGCTCTTTTGTTGCATGAAAAAACCTGTTGAAAATAGTAGTTCAATGCATAGTTTTATTACTAACTTCAGATCGATAGAGAGGTTTTCCTTTGACGGTTTCGGTAAGTGTTCGTTATTTGTTTTATCAAAAAACATCGACTCTTTGTTTTCCCTCATGCATGTGGAGACGGCACTGTTCGATTGGCCAATCGTATTTAAGTATGACGTCAAAGCGAAGTATCGATTGATTTCCGGAAAGTTCTCGGGTATGAAGTTTTTTCCCCCCGAGCATTCGCTTAACCAACCAAAAGCCACGAGTGTTTGTATCCTTTCGACAAACCAATCAAATCGCTCTATTTCCGTTCGCTTGTTGTTTCTGTTTTGTTCGCGTGTTTTCATTTCAAGGTCATATGAAAATCGCTCTAAAAAGACTGTAAATACATAATTATACAGCAGATGTTACTCTTTTAAAGGGGCGACGTCACGCTATTTGCTATCTTTTTTAGAGAGATAAACAGTCTCCTCGCATCATTTGATTCCAAAAAATAATGGTCCAGCTCAGTTTTAACTTTTTTAGATTATATGACATATTTAGGCTTTGAAAACGTTTCCTGTTGTTGTTGCAAAGGGTTGGCAAGGATGAGCCAACGTTTTCAAGTTTTAACGCTATCCATGCATAAAAATTATTATGGTTAGTCGGCTCCCTGACGAAATTTGTTTGATATCTTCTTTATAACTCTACAGGAACATTTTTGTGTATGGCTAAAGGCACTAAGTAATGAGCTGGTCAGCAAAGATTTGACCTAAAACAGCAATATTCCCATGTCATGGCTCCTTTAACTGATTAAAAAACCCATTAAATATTAACTCGTTAATATTCGTGATCAGTAGGCATATCGTTCAATGACCGCTTGAGGAAATGTCCAATGGAATTGACACTTTCCTTGAGCATTTCTTTTCCCTCCTGTACGATTATCATCAAACTGCTGAAATTTCTGGTATTTGGAGAGCCGTATTGCGTAGGCAAATAGACGCCTATTAAACCGTGTTATCCGGGAGAGATACTCCCTACAATGCCCTATTTTCAGGGTTTAGAAATATAACTGTATATAAACTCATGTAAACATTTCTTTTCGTAACACATGTAAATATTTTTGCCCCATTGTAATTTTTATTATTGTATGTTAATTTGTTATCATTGTAGGTTACGAGAGAATAGCCCCTTAAAGAGGAGTCGTAATAAAGTGTATGTCATGTTATGTTATGTTAAAGGGTAGGGATTTCACTAACAGGGCTAACAGACATACTTTATGGCTTGGAAATGATCTTGAAGACATCCTAGTTTGGCGGTTAATTCATGTTTAAAAGATAATGTATTTACAGCAGTTACAGGGATGCAGCTTTAACTAGGTAATGTGAGAGAATTAGTTGTTATCAAAGCTCTGGTTGTTATAACGGTTTCACTGTAAATTACGCCTTTTAATTTTTACTTTCTGAAGCACTTTTACGCATATATGTCAGGACTGCAAATAGTCGCTTTTATTTTTTCCGTAATCGGTTTTGGAAAGACGCGAGGGGCCGCCATGACATTTTCGCGACAAGCGGCGTGCGAGCCTCACACGCCCGTAGGCCTAGTCTCACCCTTCGTTTTCACCCTCTCGCTCCAAACTTTTCGTTTGACCGCGCGCGTTCGTCACAGTTCTCTCTTCACAGTCCCCTACGTTTTTTTAAGATTGTCAGGATCGAGCGCTTACCGGTACGGACGGCCCATCTCGATTTCATATGTACCCAGGAGGTACATATGAACTTCAAGATAGTCAAGATGGCCGCCCGTAACCTTAAGCGCTCGATCCTTATGATCGACGCGCGTACGCCACCTCTATAAGCTATAGGTCATGCAAGCAAAGTGTTATCCATATAAATATTCTCCTGAACCGTTTTAAGAGTGCGCTAAAGCGCTTCCTAAAATCCATTAGTTGTCCATATGTTATGTTATGTTATTCAAAGTAGACAGACTGCAAGTTATATTACTTGCTAAAAAATATATATCTAGGTGTCGCAACTGTTCATCAGTAGGATGCCTAAAATGCATGCAATTCCACAGTTGGTTTCGGCTCCGTTAAATCCTATACCGATTGCAGAACATTTTAAGAGGAGCCACCCACCATGTTGGCACAGTCACGGACAACACATATAAGTGAGGAAAACAACGCAAAGTAAAATTAAGACGTCACTTAACGAACTAAATACACGTCAATTGAATAAATAAACAAATAATACGCGCGCTCAATAAAAAAAATTGTACGCGCACACGTACCGAGATACAACTGAAATACAAAACTAAGCAATAAATAAGTAATTAAAGGATACGATGGTGCAATTCAAGCCTGGATTGCTAATCTCATCACCCGCAGGGCTGCACCATACTTCTCGACGATAAGACCATGGCGACTGAAGAATTTATTTAATGATTTCTGAAGTAGATTGGTTTCAAAGCCTTGCTGTCTGAGACGTAATGAAAGTCGGCGAGGTCTATTTATGAAGTCAACTTTGGACGTGCAAATTCTAGCATATCTCACCAGTTGGGACATATAAACACCGTAAGCTGGATTGGCGGGAATGTTGCTGTCCTTATGTTATGTTATGTTATGTTATGTTATGACTACTGTAAACAGTCTACATGTAAGAGAATCGAAGACGGTCTTGGATTCTAAATTCCACTCCTTGAAATCCGGATCACCAGATACTGGATTCCAGATTCCCAGTGTCAGTGGAAGTTGGGTTCAAGATTCCAGTCGTTATTGGGATTCCGGATTTCTTGAGCTGTATTCCGGATTCTACTAACAAGAAAAAAATTCCTGGATTCTGGAAACTCTGTTAGACCTTACATGGGGCGATCATACACTCTGAGTCATTCTCAAGAAAAGTTTCCGTTACCTTGTGACATAAATAGATGTGACGAAATTGTAGTAATAATAATAAAAAAGAAATTTGCATCTACGACTTTTTTATAACTGAAGCATCAGGTGATTTCAATGGGGGTAACAAACGCGCTATGAAAGTCTTAACTATATGAGTGACTCGAAATCCACAACTTCTTGATACACTCGGACGCGTTATGGGCTGTATCTAGCCTTTAAGAAAGAAAATATCAACATCGGAATCAAGTATGGTCGTCACACGGTGGCAGTTTTTCATTATCTATTCAGCTAACAAAACAAAATATATTAACGAAAATGCTTACTAAGGAAAACATCTCAGATCATCCGGCCAAGCAATTTCATACTGTAGCTACTGCTCTCGAGCTTCTTTTGGCGATTTGTCCTCCCCCCTTCAGGCAAGCAAAATTGTTCTTTATTTTTCCAAAAGTTTACTTTATATTTAAATAAAAGCAGCTTTTCAATTCGTCTTCTATTCTCCGACTTGTTTTAACAACACAAGTGTTAAGTAAAAGTTTGAAAATTCTTCTCTTCTTCTATTTTATTTACTGTTTTATCCACCCATTGTATACTATTTTCGAACCAGAAAACGCATGACCTTACAATTCAGCGTAATCAACCATTTTTAAACATTCTATAAAAGTTTTAAATCTGTTGAGTGCATTTTGAGGGGATTCACCCCCCGATAGTCCCCTGGATTCGCTAATGAAAATTGCGTACGTGTGAATGACGCGGTGTGAAATAAAACTTAGCCTCATATAAATGGATAACAAAAAAATAGGATTCAAATGGAACTGAAACTTCATAAAAAGAAAGTAAACGACACCTGTAGACAATATTTACATTTTATTGATGACTTTTACCGCCTTTAGTTCATTTTTCTGATCTGAGTTTTATTTCCCATACAAACTCTTTATTCCCTATACAGATTCTTATATTAGGCTGGGTCCACCTGCTTTAGCCCGCTAAAGTTGATTGACTTGACTTCTGAGCTCGGCGTGTTATTGAAAGCCGTAATAATCTTGCCAATGGTCCGTTTCACTGACACCTGTGCGTCCACGGTTGCTACAATTGTGTTTTTTAGTAATAAACAATTATAATAAAGTTCGGTTAAAACGCGCACTCTGATTAGTTTGAAAAGGGAAGGATGCTTTATGAGTGTATTAAACACAGAGGTAAGCTGTCACACTGCGTTTTGGAAATTAGAAATTAATTATAAAATAACTAAGATAGTACGCGCGCCCTGATTTGCCGAGAGGCGTGTTTGCATGAGAGTATGTAAACATGGTTGTGACATCAAGATGTTTTACTTTTCGCGCGCTAATCACGCAAGCACGAATTTGAAAAAGGTTTTGAATTGAAAACCTCGACAAGTTTACTTTATTCACCCATTTCCTCGTCGGCTGAAACTTGGAGAATCTTTAGAAACATGCTATGTCAATTTTTTTTTTTTTCGCTTGAGCTGACATTTTAAGGTAAAATAAGGACTGTTTACGCTTACAAGCTTCGTGTACATGCAAGACTTCGCGACTGGTAAGAATTTTTCTTTTAATCAGTGCTCTAAACAAGAAAGTTTTGCTTTTTTTCTCGGGAAAGTTATTTTATAAAAGCAATAGAAAGCTTTTTTCCTGTGTTTGCATATCCTGATATAAACACTCGAGGGGTTGGGAGAATTCTCGACAGTTATGCAAACCCTCGACTTCGTCTCGGGTTTGTGTAACTGTCTCGAATTCTCCCAACCCCTCTCGTGTTTAGATCAGGCTACGTAAACACGGAAAACGTTTTCTTTTGCTTAATTAATCGTGGGGAATTAAACTGATTATTTATCATAAAACAAATAAAGAAGCCTTGACTGTGCTCTCAGTTT